CACCCTCAGCATCACAGTTCTTCCTTCTCTCTGGTCTAGTCTGAATCCCTCTCAGTTTAAAACCCATCAGCCACAGGCCTCACAGATGTCTGGACAAACACCCACCCCCCTCCCACCCTGCCCGCACAGCCACCCTCAGACCCCTTGCAGAAAGCTGCTGATCCCCAGAGTGACCCCTGCTTGAGGGGACCCCCTCCTCCTGGGGTACCCCCCATCCTGCCAGCCCCTACCAGTGCCTTCTGCTCCCTCTCCTCGCTGAGCTGCTGCAGGTAGTGGTGGAGGTTGTCCCTCTGGAGGCAGCGCAGGGCCAGGGCAGGGTCCTGCAGTGCCTGGTACAGTGCCAGCGGGTCCCCTCTCTCCAGGGCCTCATCCACCTCCTCCAGAGCTCCGTGCACTAGGAGAGAGCCCAGATGGCACCCAGAGGTGAGCAGGGAAATCATCCCATGCCTCCAGGGAGCCAAGGGAGCTGGGGTTGAAGCTGGTGTATCCATAAGTTCAGTTTCTCCTCGGCACTGCACACCCAGCCCTGCTCCCCACCCTGCCTGAAGCTGACCTGGGCTCCTTTCTGCTGTGCCCACCACCCCAGGCAGGTTCTCCCCAACAGCCTGGGCTGCCACAGTCCCACCAGTAAGCTCTGGAGGCCCTGCAGGAGGGAAAAGCCACAGCTTCACTCACCATTCACTTTGTTGATGTTCCCTTGGATTTCAGCCTGGGTCAGGCACCGGTCATAGATGTCCTCTCCCTCAGGGATCACCTGCAGGTACTGGAGAAGGAGTCCCCACCCTGAGCTTTCCACCCAAGCTCACCCCAACAGCACACATGGGTGGTCCCCTGCAGGTGCCTGGGCTCCTCTCCCAAGCTCCAGGTCAAACAGCTCCCACAGCAGAATCATTTCCCCACCACGTTCCTCCCCATCCTCTGATCATCAACAGTTGGACTCGATCTTAAAGGTCTCCTCCAACCTAAACAATTCTATGATCAGCACAAGGGCTCCCAGGCCACGTGTTACCCACCAAACATGGGGACAACCTCTAAGAGGAGCCCTTCCAGCTGGAAGCACCCACCAGCACATCAGCAAAAGGGCTGCTCCCCTCCTAGCCCCCCCCATGCTCTCCTCACCCTGTTCCTGGCATTGCTGCTCTTCTCCAGCTTCGCCTGGTGGAGCACCTCTTGGTAGGCATCAGCCAGCACCTCACGCAGGTTGAGGAGCATGGCACTGGGGTTGCTCAGGGCCACCATGGTCTGAGCTGCCACCCCCTGCTCCACAGCCTCGTTGATGGCCAGCACTGCAGCGTGGACTGCGGGCAGAGAGGGTGGGCAGCTGGTGAGGTGGGGCATGGAGAGCTCGATGGACCACCCACCCCAGCCCTGCACCCAGTAGGATGAGCTGCACCACGTGTGGTGGTGGGAACTGCCCTGCTCAGAGGACAAGCTGCAGTCTCCAGGGCCCAGGAGGTTTCTGTGTCTCTGCAGTGAGCCCGGCTGATGCAGAAGCCCAGGGGCTGCGGGGTGGGAGGGGGCTGCACCAGCTCTTCCAGCCATGGTCAAAGGAGAACAGCCAGGTGCCTCCACACCATCTCCCAGAGCATGGATCATAGAACCATGGAAATCTGGAGGTAAACTCTCTCCTGCTGGGCTCCCAGCAGAGGGGTTCCCCCCTCGGGGCATTGCTGGGGCTCCTCTGGCCCCGCTCCAGCAGCTCCCTGGCTCTGCTGTGCTGAGGACTCCAGAGCTGCCCCAGCACTGCAGGGGGGGCTCCCCAGAGGGGGCAGAGGGGCAGGATCCCCTCCCCTTGACCCTTGATCTGATGAGATGCATCTCCCAGAGCATCTCTCAGCACATCCCTCGGCTGGCTGGCCCCAGCTGGGACTTTCAGGGGCCCTGTTGAGATCCTGCTCCAGCCCATCACCTGCTGCTTCATCCACCGAGAGCTCGTTGGCCAAGATGCCCCCGATCTTGCTGAAGGTGGGCAGCTGCAGGCCATACTTCTCCAGCTCCTTCTTCATGTTGTTGATCTCTTCCTCTGGAGCAGAGCATAGAGAGAGCACCACTCAGCACCAGCACCATGACCCAGCACTAGAGCAGGGACAACCAAACCAGGGGGGTGCAGAAAACGCCCACACTGGGGTCAGCATCACTGGGGCAGCTTTGGAAAAGCTCACCCAAGGTCTTCGTGGCTTAGTGGTCACAGTAGTGTTGGGTGTTGGTTGGACTTGAAGATCTTAGAGACCTTTTCCAACCTTATATGACTCTATGATTCATCCCCCACATCCCTCCCACCATGTGGATCCCAGAGTGGTGTTGGCAAACCCTCCTCCCCAGCCCCCAGCCCAGGTGCCCCCGCATGGTGCCATACCTGTGAAGTCCACTTTGCCATACAAGTCCTGGATCTGAGGAGCCAACCCCAGCTTGAAGAGGTACAAGCTGAAAGAGGAACCAGATGCACACCATGACCACACGAGTCACTTGCTTCCCCCTCCCAGTGCTTCTACAACAGCCTAGGCCACAGCCCCAACCCTGCCAACGAAGGGCTCAGGAGCACAAACACGACCCAGGACACACCTTGGCCCCGGTGCCAGGCCATGGGCACCCACCTGAGCGCGTGGATGCAGTAGATCACCCGGGGCATGTTCTTCTTGTCGTAGATGTCAGTGGTCTCCGGGTGGAAAATCTGCCAACGAGACACCAGACGCCTCAGGTGGAGCTGGCACCGACGGCCCACGGGCAGGAGGGTGGGGGGGACAGAGATGAAGC